CCTGTGGGGCAGTGCCATTCCATCCTCTAGGGGCGCTGTGGGTCAGGATTGATTGCACAGCTGTGGATTTGGGTTTGGTTTGAGGAATGGCAGACAGGTAAGACCATCATCCTTTTCTGTCATTTTGTCTGATGGGGAGATGGATCCCTGGGCACTTGGACCTTGGGTGTTTTCAGTTGAGCCTGGCCACTTAAGAGCAATGAAGCACTTTGTTGCTAAGGGCTCACTGGGAACAATCCCTCCTGGGCCCCATGACTGCGGCCACTGTATTGCAGGGCTTGGGCCGCCTGTGTGAGAGGTTCCCGCTGGTCGTGCACTCAGTGATGCCGTCTCTGAGAGACTTCCTGGTCATCCCGTCCCCAGTACTCGTGAAGCTCTACAAGTACCACAGTCAGTACCACACAGGTAACCAGTGTGAGCTTGTCTCGGATCCAGCACCCATCCCTCGGGCCACCTCCAAGGGTGTGAGAATAGGACTGCGTGGTTTTGCACGGGCCTGACGGGCACGTGACTGTGGATGGTGTGCTGGCCCTGGCCACTCTGCTCTGCACTTGGGCTCTCCCCACCTCTTCTTCCTCTTATCCATCCCTGGTCTCCAGGCGTTCCCTGCTCCGCCTCCCAAGGCATGCACCCCTGCCTCCGTGAGAGGCCCTCTGCAGCCCCCCATTCTGCTTTTGGCATCTTCTCTAAGAGGGCCATCTGAGTATGGGTGTTGGCGTCCTGGACGCTGGGCCAGGAACTTGGCTGTGCCATTTGATCCGGCCCCACCCCCCACGTGGGAGTGCTTGGTGAGGCGTCGGGACGAGAGGCAGCCTCAGAGTATGCCTGTGAGGGGCCACCGTTCAGTGACCAGACACCTGTCCGACACGGGGCCTCTTGTGTTCCGTTGCTCATCTGAGCCGCATCCTGGGACAGTGGTGCTCTTGCACTTCGGATGAAGAAGCCCGTGCTCTGACGTCCAGAAGCTTGCCCAGGCCCTGTACCTTGCGAGCGTCTCCCTGGCTGTGAGGTCCCTCCCTGCATGACCTCCTTCCCCCTCGCTGGCTGTGTGC